AAAAAAAAAAAAGCAGCAAACTCTCATCTGCGGTATGCTACCCCTTGACCGTGGATGAACCTTGCATCATCCTCTGTGTAGACATGACTCTCATTCTTTAACCTGGAGAATCAAAAAAGACTCTATTTGTATCAAGTCGAGCATTGTAAGTTTATAAACTCCACGCGATTTATGCACGCTCATGGAGCAAGCTTTCATGACTTGTAACAACGAAGAATTTAAGGCCTTACGTCTTAGCAACTGTCTTATTCAAGATGGTGGACGAGACAAAGGTGGCACCATTTAAGTATAGCAATTCTCCATCAATTCTTTCTGCAATCTTCTTGTCTATTTTCCCAGCCTCAATGCAGAGTGGTTGATCAGATGCCTGAATTAGTCCAGACACGTTAATTATACGATATTACAAAACTTATAAGTCGAAAATTTCATAAATTTGCATGCATACCATAACCCATCCCCATGTATCAGCAAAAGATGGCACATGAGCAGTGTAAGCCAGCACATCTGCACATCAAATCATTTTATCGATGCATAATGACTCGCGTAAACTAATATTGTTGCACTAGACACGAAATTATATCAGATTTACATTTGAAAACATGTACTATTGTGTTGTATATTGACGAGAACACCTCCTTGTGGCTGAACACCCCTGCCGGTCCAGCCTATAAAACTTTTTCATAGAAAGATTTTGTGTATAGTTGATAGCAAGGCCCTCCTTCAACTGGATCTGCTAAATCTCCCACAATAATGTCAAACTTTTCCTCCCTCATCTCCAATTCAGCTCTTCAGAAATAATTAGTAATTAGCTCAATGGAGTAAGATCAGAAAAACGAGCAAGTTTGGTAGTCTCGAGCCCTTTATAACTATAAAAAAGACCTTACTTGGCGTCGTTAATCACTAAATCGAGTTTGGCGTTACGAAAAGCTTCATGGTTTGCTGTAAGATGCTTTCTGCAAAAATCAACGACCTCCTACAACATGTAGCACAAAACTATTAAAAGAGAAACAATCAAAAATAATCCGCATTATCTTACACTTCATTATCTCCTTAAGCAATATGCGTATACAAACAATTGATCGATAATTTACTATTGGTGCGTTCGTCTCGATCCATGTGCAAGAAACACGTGTCACTAGCCTATTGGATTGTTGAGTTATAGGTATCGATAATTCATAAAATTTAATTTCCTAACTTTGGCTCCTTCAAAAAACTAACCTGACAAACATTAGTGGACTAGACCACGAATAAACAACGTATTTATCCTCAAAATAATATTGTGAAACATGATGTTTCCTTTCCTTTATCTATAGTCAACTACAAAGACATCCACATTTAAAAGGTATTGTCTGTCATATAATGCCTCGATGGGGGTAGGAAAAGAAGTCGACTATATCTTATCTAAATTCATGACGTGTTTAGAAAAAAATATTTTGAATTTACCCCCATAAACACGTACGTGTATATGTAACAAACCGTAGATACCTGATCGATATCACACATGACCACTTTATTTATCGACTTGTGCCTGAGTGCTTCCCTTGCTGCAGACCCTTCACCACCTCCCATAATAAACACACTTTTGGGGCTGCAAATTAGTTGAAAACATATATAATTAGATTAGGAGAACGCAATTTTTTTTAAAAATAATAATAAAAAAAAAGATTAGTTGATAAGACTCACTTAGGGTGACATAATAGGGATGGATGAATTAAACATTCGTGATATATGAATTCATCAACTTCTGCACTCTGCATCTTCCCATCAATTACCAACACCTATAGGCATGCATCCAATGAATTATTATTAAACAAAACAACACACTTTTTTTCTTACCAAATGAACACCAAAATATATATATTTACCTTCCCAAATCTTTTTGTGTCCAAAAGAGCAATATCCTGGTACTCACTAGTCCCTTTGTGCAGCACTCTACGAGAGAGAGAGAGAGCGAGTCATTCCAAAATCAAGAAAAGGGGCGACTTTTATGTAGTAATGCAATACTAGATCGGACTGAAAATTATAATTGACAAAAGGGTAGCTTTACGTTTCACGAAGAATTTGGACAACATATATATCTATGTGCCAAGTGTTGCTTTGTCATTAACCTTTCTTGAGACTATGTTCGACTGAACACTATGCATTCACTAATTATATTCTCAAAAATAAGTAATTAGGGAAGTAGTGATTTGACAAACACATTATAAGAGATATTTCCGCACCATAGCTAGATGTAATTGCACTATGGGTCATAATTGTGGAATTAATAGAAAAGGGAAAGATAACTCAGAAATGAAATTGAAGGTGATTGAAATTTCAAGATTCAAATAGAAACAATAAGAACCCATAAATTAATTATTTTAAACGAGATGAAATCATCATGCAAATTAATGTTAGTATCGAGTCAGTGAATTGTATTTGACGATGTTTAAATGAAAGGAGCACATAATCTCTCATTTTTCGAAAAGAAAGGACAAATGAATTGGCGAAAATAAGTAAAAAAAATTGAGTTTGATGCTTACTTGTTCAAGGCAAAAGACCATTTGAGATCAACATCAATCTCTTCTTCAAACCAAGAATCATCGCTTCCATTTTCCTCAATAATAATTTGATTTGCTTTAGAGAATCCATTGCAATGAAAGAACTCCACAGCTTCACCCATGGTGATAATTGATTATGACTCTTGATGATTAAAAGTAGAAAGAGAGAAGATGGTGAAAATTCAAGAGGGTTAAGCGTGAGCAAGAAATGTCCTAACGTATGACCATATTTTATAGGAAAAATGAAAATTCCAAGCGAATAAGCGTGGCATCACACTTATTGTAGTTGACCAAAAAGATACATTAATGTTCTCTAAACCCATGCATATGATCATACCAAAAAAAAAAAATTAATTTTAATTTTTTATTCTGTACAAGGGACATGTTACAAATGAATGAATAAAGTGTGCAAAATTCATGATAATTACAGAGTTACATTAATTTTTCGGTGTTACGTCATGTTCAAGTGCATAAGAAAATTCACCCTCCTAGAACTATATATTGGATTACGTTGAGTTGATGTGAACTTTGCACGAGTGTATGCCTTACTCCATTTTTCTTTTTCTCTCGTTTTGTCTATCTTTATGTACACATAAAAATTTGTGAATGTCACTCTCACAAGTCTAGTTTTCCCCTTCATTTTATTTATATTGCTTTTATTGCAAGGTGTATGTGAAAAGAGTGGAAATAAATGAATGAAATGTTGTAAATATAAATAATTAGAAGTTTTAAAACTTTGACTAACCAAAAATAGATTTCTTTAAAATGGTTTTAAAAGAATTAGGATTTTTACTCTCTCTCTCTCTCTCTCTCTCTCTCTCTCTCTCTCTCTCTAAGATTTGACTTATTAATAGGCTTATCTTTATGTATAATTTCTTAATAAATATATTAAAAAATACCTTTTGTCCAAATTGGGATGTAATAAAACGATGAAATCCCTAAATATTTATTGGAAAAGAGATTTTAAATTTATGTTGTATAGAATGATGGGATAATGTAATTAAGAATTAATTAGTTGACCCTAGACCTAGTACAATTATTTTTTGGTTGGTATATATATCGCATGCGCATTTTCTTAATTTATTATTTAGGAGCACAAAATATTTGGAGGGCGTGACTTATGTGGGTCCCATCTTCCACATGCCGAACATAATAAAGGATGATTGAAATGAAATTGTTTTTTTTTTATCGAAATGCCCTCTTTCTTATTTCACAAACTATCTTATCATTTTTAGTTTTATTTTTATTTTTGTGAACAAACTCCTCAAATTCAATGTAGTACGTTTTATTATTAATGAATAAACACATTACAAACTTGTAAATAAGAAAAATCTTACATTTCTTGAAAGATAAACAACTTAAAATTTTAAAAACAACTGATCTAAACACAGTCCTCGAGATTATATGCGGAGTGTTGTGTCTTTAGATTCTTGGTCCATTGCAGAATCGCTCCTTGAGGGAGATTGAGTAAATTTATCGTGAAAGTTAAAGCTCGGAATGTTCACAACTTTGTCGTAATAAAAAAGACCATCAAAACATGTTTTTTTTTACTTAATTTCATATACATACAAAAATTAAAATTAGGATCCAAAAATCTATTTCGTTTCCAAAACCATTTCAACAGTTGTGGATGTGACTAAGAAGCTAATAATATATTAATATAATCAAGAAGAACAATTTTAAATTATGAAAGTGAAACCTACATAATAATCAATATTTTAAGATATTTTATCCTTTTTTCTTCTATTGGAGAGTTTACATTGGTATAATAATTGCGTGAAGAAATAAAAAAGAAGAATTATTATTCATCATAATCTGCACACAACAGTGGATTTGGTATGCACATGCAAGATGCGTACGTATAGTGAGTGGGGATTTTAGAGATATGGGCGTGCTTATTCTATTTATAATGGGATTTCAAAGAAAGACGTCTGCCGGCAAACAACCAATTCTGTGTGCGATTCGGTGCAAGAGTGGGGGTAGGTGGGGTATGGACAGCATTGCAGTGATTCCATTAAGTAAATTTGTGGGCACCCCACTTTTCTCTCCACTCTCAAATACAACTTTCTTCAAGACTTCGATTTCAACTTGTAAAATATCTTGTTTAACAATTTATAGGCTATAAAAAGCGAGATTCAAACAAGGTCTATCCCTCTGATAAACTCTTCCCTCTCTCTATCGGACACACATACATCGCGTCTCTCCAAAACTCCGATCTAGAATTCGAGTTGAACTGTTGGACCATTTATAGTCTTATAAAAACAACGTTCCTAATAGCGTAGTCCTGCAATAGACTTTTCCCTCTCTCCCACATACACAGTGTCTCTCCGAAACTTCGAGTTGAGCATATAAAAATGTGTGGGATCATTTATAATTTTATATTTAAAAAAAAAGCACAATCCAAACATAGCATAACCCTGCGATAGACTGTTTTATCTCACACTCACGCACCATGTCTATCCAAAACCCAAGTGTCAATATGTTTTTAGACCATTTAGTTTATGAAAACACAAGTCAAACATGACTTAGGTTCGTGATAGATCATTCCATCAGTTAGCCACGAATATGGTAGCTTGTAGGCTCAGACCAACTTGAGAAGATAGTGCCCCTAAAATCTTATTATGCGATCGCAAATGTGATTATATTCGCATTATGATCCTATTATATCATCGTTAACATGTTAAAAAATTGTATCGTGATGCTAAAGAATCTATTCTCCTATTCTTTCTAGTAAACTGAGAGAATTCGCTGCTTGACCTCAATCTCGTATTCTCGAGTCTCGACTGGTTGGTTATTCATCAAGTGGGCTGCAAAATTTTTAAACCAATTCAAGAAGTACCGTGGTAATTTTCAAAATAAGGGCGGCTGCAATCACTTTCATGGACTTTTGCTAATTCAAAAGGTTGTTCATGACATTTTTCCACTAAAAGTCAATGGATTTCATAATCCAATGTGGGACCTCTCATAAATTTATAATCCTTCACAAGGTTATCTTGATTATTGATTTGAAATCTCTCTCCATGAAAGCGACCATATATGATATCGACAATGTTCAGTGATTTGAGTTAGTTTATATTTTCTAATCGCAGTCATCAAATAAATATTTGTTAATTTTAAAAATAAAAAATTAGAAAAGAACCAAAAGGGGCATTTTAATGCTCCACCTTTCACTTTTGTTTCACTAGATGTGTCAATCCGGGTGGTTCGGACCGGGTCGGCTCGCCAACATATGAGTTCGGTAACGGTCCGGGTGAAAAAAAGTCCGCCTGCTACGGGTTTCGGGCCGGTTCCGGGTTGGCCCACAAATTTTGGATTACAACCCAAGTCCGTCCGTTGACCCATCCGAGTCGAGCCCNGATACTATTGGCTAGAGAGCTTGGTTTGTCAGATATTTAGGTTGAGTAGAGGTGTCAATTCGGGTCGGCCCGCCAACATATGAGCCCGGTAACTACCCGCGTGAAAAAAGCTCACCCGCTACGAGTTCCCGGCCGGTTCCGAGTCGGCCCACAAATTTTGGACTACAACCCAAGCCCACCCGCTGACCCATGTGGGTCTAGCCCATGCAGGTCACCGGTCGCGCGGGTCGCGATTTGTTCCGATTTAGCCCGTATTATTGTATAAATAAAATTATAAAAATATAGAATTTTTCATATTTATACCAAAAAATATTTATTTTGTTAAATATAAACTAAAAATTGAACAAAATGATAAAGAAAAATGCTAAATGTACATAATTATTGTACATAAGAGTGTACATAACCCTCACATGGGGTGTGGTCCACAAAAATGTGGGCTCCACCCCATGTGAGGGTTATGGATACCCCTATTTACAATAATTATGTACACCAAGTAAAGTCCAATGATAAATTCATATTTATATCAAAAAATGTTTACATAGGATTCAAATTTAATGTTACACGAATTATTTATAACTTTGCAAAGTTAAATTTAATTTAAACAAGTAACAACTAAATGCATTTCTAATTATTATTTTCAAATATTTATAGTATAAGTACATCCCAACTAGATTGGCACCTACGATTTTAACATTAATAGCATTAGTATAGCCAACACACGATTTTAACATTAAAAAAGTCGAATTCCATCTATTAGGAATATCATCAACAAATTTTCTTTCCCCCATTTTTTTCAAAATTTTAAATTTTTTTTTCACGGGCTAGCGGGTTAGGCGCTGCCCGTGAAGGTCCAACCCGCGAAACCCGTGGGTCACACCTCCTTAACCCGTTAATCGCCCGCTCGAGTCACGGGTCGGCCTGCGGTCCCAGGTCGATTCGGGCCGATTTTCACGGGTCTGGTCGGCCCGTCCGTCTTGACACCTCTATGTTTTACTATATACTACAAATAAATAACATAACTATCCAAGAACCTAAACTCAGTAAAATCAAACATAAATTTGCAATCTAATAACCAAATTTTAATTAATATTCTAGTACTGTAATTAGACATTACAACAAGTGTCTATCACAAATGTAATAATGAAGTTTCTCATAAAAAAAGCAGGACGAACAAAAATAAATGATTATGAGTTAAAATAGAAACTCGAAAACAATGCATCTGTATAGTATCTAGTAGTATTCGACAGAGAATAGAGTACAGAAAGAATGCTAGTCACCAGAAAATATAAGACATAATAGGATGAAACATCTATGGGCGAATAAAAACTTGGGGTTTTATGCAACTTCAGCTGGTGGAACTACAGCCTGAGGCACGTGCACGTACTCAGTCTGAGGCACGTAGTCTTCTTCCTTGGGAGGGTGAATAGTAACCACATCAGGTAAAGGTGTAGTTGGTCCGTAACCACATCAGGTAAAGGTGTAGTTGGTCCTTGCTTGCCCTTGGGATCCCACTCGAGCATAATTTTGACTTTAATACCAAGCACACCCTATGAATATCAATTGAAAGGAACAAGCTATACAGTGAGCAGGACACTCTTATATGTAGTGACCTCCATACTTATAAATTTTAACATAGCTCATTCATTTGAAAACCAAGTGAAAAGGCATACATGTCTAAGTAGAACATGGCGCACGGCTGAATCAATATATTCCTTTACAGGCTGACCCGAGGATATCATGTACCCATCCTTGAACTTCATGGACTTGGCACGCTGTGCGCAGAGCTTTCCACTTACAATTACCTATATAGAAATGGTTAGGAAGGTGGGAACCCAACAACAGCCATATAAAGATGCAATAGATGAATGAATATAGGTTTAAGCTGACCTCACATCCCTTTGCCCCATTCTCAATGACAAACCTTAGGACACCATAGCAAGCCCTAAAGATAAAAGAAAAGAGGTAAGATAACATGAAAACGAAAAAAACATTGCACCATCCATTGAGACCATAAATTTCACACTACCATCCTGAATTTATTATGTGACCCCTAGGAAGATGCCCCCTAGTTCATCAACTTAGGGAAAAAAAAAAATTTCAACTTATATCGTGATGCCCTATATTACATATATATGATTATCCCATCTCATATTTCATCAATCATCATCAAGAAAATGGATTGTAACTAGGAAACAAATATAAATGGAAAATAGTTATGTCCAACTTGCTGCAAAGATGACTTGTGAAGCTCCAAGCCTTGAGTCAACACACAATAATAAAGTACAAGTAGATGATAAATAAAAATAGTCATGTATGCATAGAAGATCATAGGGTTAAAAAGCATACAAACCTCCGAACAGCAAGACCTCCAAGTAGCTTGTATCGTAATGACTCTGTCGGAGCAATGGCACAAAGACCTCTGTTGTTAACTTTCTCGGCATAAAGTTCCATGCTGTTCTCTGAAAATTTAAAATGCTTCTGAACAACTGAAGTCAGTTCTCTAATCCTCCTACCCTTCTCTCCTGTAAAAGGAAGATAGAGGCATAGCATAAATGTCATACCATCAATTAGAATTAAGGCACGATAAAATGAGAAATCTTCCATGCCCAACTAGCAAGCACAGAAAAATTTAGCTAGTTTGTAGGAAGTAATGCACTCTTAATATATTGCCTTAATTTCCTCTTTTTCTTATTGAAATTACCACACCAAGTGGAAAAAGAAAGTATACTTTAGCATCTTTAAATTACCCACAATATAAATAGTCACGGTCACCCCCAAAGTAGAAGCTAAAATAACTACAACCATGTCCCTCTTAACTCTTTTCCACCTTTCCTATACTGTCCTACCATTTCACTAGTTCATCACTAATCTCACTGAACCTTATTCCTGTATTTTTCCAGTTCACTTACGAATTGGTCACATTTAAATTTACATAGACAACTTAAGTGAAAGTATAGACATCAATTTGAAATAGAAGGAATACTATCCAAACATGTCAGTTTTTAGGTTCAGGCTTCAGCTTTCCATTCCAAAATATTCGATATAATTTCAAGAAGCAGATAATCTACATATAGCGGATGAAAAATTTAGAAAACCGGTTTGTAATAACATGTACTCACACACTCGAGCAAAAAAAACATTCAAACTCAATCAGCCTCTGGCTCTACCATCTCTAAAAATTGACCAGTACAGTGTATATTCAAAAAGTGTTCTACCCCATAAACATACTGAGCCCTTGTTTGGGCTTCATTAAGATGCAATTTTGGTATAGCATGTAATATTATTTTATGGGAGAATATTTGGTTGAAAATGAGATTTAAAAAAAAAATGAGTTTTTGAGGAATGGGGGTCAAACATAGGCTAAATACTGTAGACAAAAGCCCAACATCCCATTTTGCTCCATTTTCCATCCATATGCATTCTTACTCACTTCAATATACAAAACCAATCGAAAACCCAGTGATATCAGGTTTACACAATATACACAACGACAAGAAACACGTAACAAAAACAGCTAAAATTAAGGTATACAATCTCGGCAAAGTGCATTAATTTATATATAGAGAACGTTTTGGGTACGAGTGGCACGAATAATGATCTCAGTACGCATAGGGGTTACTCGAACCTCCACACCAGAGTAGCCACCCTCGGCCAGTTCTCGAGTCAGCACTTCGTTCAATTCCGCAAAGAACACTCCATCAGCTACAAACTATAATTTTCGTATCATGGAAAAAAAACAATTAACAAATCATCACCGCATAAAATAAATACAAAAACAATTTTTTTTACCATTTTGATAATAGATTGTTCTTTAACATTCTCAATTTAACAAATAATGCTTATGTTCCATTTACACACAGACAAAGATAAACAGAGAGAGGGGAAGAGAGAAACCTTTCGCTTTTTGCTCATTTGAGTAGCCATGGTTTTCCTCCGGCCGCCGGCCGCTCGTGGTATTTATTTTTTCAGCAGTGGCATCGAAAACCTAGACGGAAGATACTGTGCACATAATGCTCAAGGAAAATTGCACCATTAGTCCTCAATTAAATATGAAAATGAAAATTGATCTATCCTTAATCCTTAATTTTTAACAGTATGTATTATTATCGAGTAAAAAGTTTCGTTATTCACTGAACTTTACATACTCTCGTGCCGTAGTCGCTCAACGGCTCAAGTATGATATTCCCCTGCATGGTCACTGAACTTACTAGAAATTCTCTCCATCCATCACCATTCAAACAATGGCATCCCAGGTGGCAAGACGGCGTCCGATGTGTCAATATCTTCTCGTCATGTAAAGAATCGTTGCTTGCAAACAACCGATTTTTCAGTTGGAAATCAAAACACAATTTGATCAGACACGACCCTAATTCATTCCCGACATAATCTCACCCTAGAATTCGATTTGGGAAAATTGCACCTCTTCCAAATTCCAAAATCACCACATCAGATGATTTCCAATCCCTAATCTCCCATCCGCAATCATCCATCATCGTCCGATAACCAGAACCCCCAAAACGCGAAGGAGAAAATCAGCCAAGCCCAACCACTTTTGTGCACGATGAAGGTAATATCAGATTGAAGGGGTGTGTGTGTGTATGAAGTTTTTCCATATGAAAATTTGATCGCTTTTTGGGGGTGGATTGATAATTGGCTGTTGTTAACATCTCCATATTGTTATCTATATGAAGTTAAATCCACAAATGACCATATTATTGAGAAACTGTCTGTTTTCTGATTTCTTTTGAAAGTGCTTGGCCCATATTATTGAGAAAAAAATGATGTTTTGAAAAGTAATTTTTTTGGAGAATGTGTGGTTAAAAATTATGAAAAGTTTTGGGTTTACGTTATCGTGTCAATGTATAGTTGAAAATCAATATGAAAATTAAAGAGTTTTATTTTAAATGGAGACAAACATGGGTTTATCCAGTAAAATCAAGAAGGTGCTACTTAAATTTTACTAAATTCTTTTGATAGGCTAAACTAACTTAATTCATAGACAGTGCTAACATTACAGTCGATGTTGAACACAGTCGAAGTCCAAAATGTAAGATGTATTCAGCAGCCACAATTGTAGCGTGGAAGCAGGACATTATAGTATCCCTTTTGGATTAGTTCCATTTGACAAAATATAGTTATTTTTGTATCACGGTTAATCAATATTTGCCTTTATACTCTGAACAGGCCGAGCTAGAGAGGAAGAGAAAAACAGCAGGTGAGAGTACCCGGATATTGCAAATGCTGTCAACATGTGCCAACTTGAGTTCTGAGTTTGGACAATCATTTTCGCAGTCCTATTTATGATTAATGTTTTTGTTCTTCTGCGCAGTACTTTGAGGAAGCAAGAATGAAAGTGCAGGTCCGAAACAAGGCACACAAAGCTAACGAGAAATTAAGGGCATTTAGAAGAACCTTGAGTCGCCATTATTGAAGCAAATTGGTTGTGTCCGCATCAGAACCTAAATATTTGATACAAGCTGAGATGGATGGCTTGCTTAATGCCATTTTCTTGTTCCTTGAAGAACTAAAGTTTGCAGAACTACCTAGACGTTCTGCATTACTTATTTTTGATAAATGGTAGTAGTTTTCAATAATCGAGTCGTAGTATATGTTGGGAATTTACAGTCTAATATGCGGAATCAATACATAGCATAAACGAGTTCTACAGCTCATCTAAACCAATGATGACAGTTCAATATAACCAATCCCAGAACCTCACATAAACTAATCAACAGTTCATCAGACTCAATCAATAAGCATTAACAAAATGTAATCAACATAAACCAATGGCATTTTCATATAATCAGAAAATCAGCAGGATATACATCAACCATAGAAACTGAAATTAGAACCAACATAAACAGGAAATCTAGACAGAAATAAAAGGGCAGAAAACTACTCCCCTTTCTACCGGCCGGAGCACACCGTGGATGTCCAGTTTCTCCACCTATTTTCGGCTGAAATGTTAGGTTCAGGAACACCCTTCCATGCCATGCAAATCGCCATCCTTAGAGAGCTAGAGAACCAGCCAAAACCTCCTTCTTCTTGGCTTGGATCATCGACCAAACGGTCTACCATAAAACCGCCAAGAACACCCTCCAAAACCGAAGCTAAACCACCGAGAAACACTCCACAAACTTAGCCACTATTTCAGGCCTAAGAATCCCCAAGAGTTTCCTCAAACAATAGGCTAAGCTTTTGAGTTCATGGACTAACCGAGAAGGAAAAACGGGCTGCTCTTCAATGGAAGAGAAGGTGAGAGTTTTTTTAAAGGTTGGAGAGAGAGAGAGTCCACTGACCAATTTCAATTTTAAAAGTCTTGTCCCAATTTCAAATCCTTGAAAATACCGTCCAAGAGACTTCCAAGGAAAGCCAAAGAAAATAATATCTCAATCAAAGTTTTGATCCCAACCACTCATCTAATCAAAGGGCCACAAATAGTCAAGGTTGTACAAATTTGGGTCAACTAGTGTTATGGGAAGCACTATTCTCACAGTATAGCAAGTCTTCTAGCTATAGTTGAAAAACCATTGGGTTTTCTGTAATGTTGTTTTGTTTCAATATGGTGCAATAGTATTGTTGAAAAACCATTTGGTTTTCTGTAAAATAAAAGTTACCGACATCTTGTTTTATGTAAATAAAAACCATTTGGAAAACCATTTGTGTTTCAGTAGCAGTTAACAGCATCTTGTTTTCAATGTGTTGTAGGAATGTCATACATGGAGACACAGAACAACTATCATGTGTGAGACTTGTTTAAGAGACTAAAGAACGATCTACTTATTTTATTGCAACACCATCTTATTGAGGAATCTGTGAAATTATTTACTACAATTATTCCAATATTGTTACCTGCAATTGTTCGTAAGCATCAACTTCACATTTGTGGAAATAATTGAAAGACAACATTTATCATACAACTATAGTAGGCCAGATTTTCATAAAAAGAATTGAGAGGGCTACTGTTCTTATATGTGCGCCATACATACACAAATGCACTCTTCATTACATACATATATGTCCAAAAAGGTACTTTTTTCACAATCCTCTTTCAGGAATTAATTTTCCCAACAAAAGATACATAAAAATAAAAGAACATCCACTACCTACACCAAAAGAAACTGGAATATTTTCTAAACTACTTCTCCCTTTCCCTAGTCTTATAAACAAAACGTTCATCATCATTTCCTTCCATAGCCAGTATTTTAACTATTTTGCAATCAATTAGTAAGTTCACCAATCAAAGATCGACTCCTTCAATTTGTCAACCAAGGATGTTGAATCGATACACATTCACTCTCGGTTTAAAGAAAACTTTGTAGAGCATCACCCCTTGGCTCACTTTGTGCTTCTTCCAAAACTGTGGTTTGCTCATTTGATGATGATGTTTCCCACAGAAGAGTTTCCCGTGGTGATGCAAAATTGATGACAACATCTTTCATTTCTTCTCAGGCTGCCATGGGTGCAAAAATTATCGTTTCCTGGTCAAGAAATCGCGATGGACTACATGAATTTACAGTCCCAATTTATTACTTCTAAATCTTTAGAAACAGTTCATCCTTTTTTACCTACAATGGGGCTGCAATAATGTAAAGCATAGATTCTGTTAGAAAACAGATGTTAACACTAACCAGCAGGTTTCTGCTATGCATAAAGGACCTAAATTAATTTGTAAAATCATTTACTCACCAAATTCATATTGTGAGTAAAGCTATGAATAGGATTCATTTAGAAGTAGGTTCTGATATTTTGCACCTTTATTCAATACGTAAGGGAAGAACTCTATCAACCGCCATAAAGCGTTAAAATTTGGATATGAGATCAGTTGTTGGATATACAAGTTTAAGAAATCTACTTGTATGGATTTAGGCATGGGTGTTCAATAAAAGTACACATGTACTTGTCGAATATGGGAAACGATTAAAAATTATTCAAAATGTCAAAAGATACGTTGATACATCTCATAAACCTAAAATGACTTCAAAATTTTGTGTAAATATAATTTTATATGCATTTTCCAGGATTATTTTAAATGTAACTATAAATTTAAACCAAGATTAAATATCGAATTGCAGTACCTATTTAAATTTCATTTCAAGACTAAAAATACAAATTAGAAAGTGAAAAAAAAAAATGATATAAACGATGTTGTTTGATTTAAAGAATCTCATTGGCTTATATTTGTCTCGTGTGTTGTCCAACTGGGGCACATCCTCTAAATGGAATTGAGACCCATAATGGTAGAATTAGAAATTAGGGGAAATTACACCAGACCAGGCCTTT